TTCTTCTTTAATCAATGTCCAAGATTGCCTGTATAGTGATTTGAATTCACTGAAACCAGTCAGAGTCTTTGACTTACTGAAATAGAGTTTGAATTACGCTCTTGAATTAGGTGGAACAACAGGGCAGAAACAAAAACCTATATACAATTACACTGTAAATACATCAAACCAACTATATGGAACAACTGCCCCCCAAAGCCCTGAATTCTTAAACATGAAAATTTCATTTCAAAAATCCATATAAAATGTATATATGTGACACATACTGTGTATACAGAATCTCTCTCCTTCCTTTCCTCTGCCTCACTAGATCCCACTGCCAGATCTGAAAATCAGAAGTGGTCATTCAACGAACAGGCTGCTTTGACAAAAGTAATTTATAACAATGCCAGCCTGACACTTGTTTCAATTTAAATTATTTGTACAACTTCTAATGAATCATCACTGAAAGTTCAATCCAGAAATTGCATTTAAAAATCTAGCTTGAAAAGCCCTGACATTTCTAAATAATCTGTCTGGGAATCTTGCCCCAGGTGCAGTTATGCTCTCAGTAATGTCTGAATAAATGCAAAGCTATTCAGTCACTTTTAACTAAACAGCTGAAATACAAATGTTGAAAAATCTTAGTTCCAAAGAGAAAAATAGTTTTGAAGTGTTAAACATGAATAAACATAGCCCCTTTATGAGGTCTCATAAGGACAAGCCCTGTACATAACTCACATGTAAATTTTTAGCAATGCAGTCATCAGCCTGGTTATAACATCAAATATTTTGATTAATACAATTACTTTTGGACAAAATTTTTTTTTATTAATTCTCAGACACTTTTGTTAACAGTAAGGTGTACTGAAAGACACCAAAATACAAGACTTTATATCATAATTATTTCTTCAACTACTTACCTGTATTAGCCTTTGAAGGTGATTGAAATTGCAGTATTGAGCTAAGTGCAATGAATCTGACGTCAATTCAGGACTGGCTGATGTAAGTGTATAAAACTCTTCTTCTTCACCATTGGTTTCTCTCCTTTTGTCTAATGCATATTTACAAGTTGAGGACCTGATATAGTGGCTTTCCAATTAATAATCTCCACTTTTACTTGAAAATATATTTTTATTTGACTGCTGCATACAGTGGCAAGCAAAATTTAGGGAAGTGGAACTGCAGTGGAAATATTTGGTCTTATGATCTTTTAGGAAGATCAGTGGTAGACACACAAATGAGTTTCTATTGTTTCTTTTTATTCAAAAACTTGTGGGTTGCACATGTAGAATTTCAAAAGTGGGAAAGAAAATACAAAATGTGGCTATCAGTCAAATGCTACAGAACAGAGTTGCAGAGCTTCCTGGGATAAAGACAAGCCTGAGGTTACACTTCAATGCCATATCCTCATTGTATCATCAGTAGTAACATAATATTG